GTGGTGGCAGTTCATCTTCGGCGGTTTTCGCGAGTTCAAGAGCGCAGACTCGTTCGATGGGATAGAGGAGCACGAGGCTGATGAGCTGGGATGGACGAATCATTCGGTCATGATATTTTGGAGGGGGAAATTCTGTCAATTTCTTGATTCGATAATATATCTAATTCAATAACATGAGTGTCAACCTTAACCATCTTTAAGACTGTTTAACTCTATATATCAACTTGTCTCGCCACTACAGCTGCTTCAACTTCAACTTATACCGTAATCATTTCTAACACTTTATATAAAAAGTTATTTATTTTATCTATTGATTGTGATTCTCAAATGATCTGCTACATTCAAATGTGGCCCATTTTTATGAATTAGAAAGCCAGTACAACCTCAACAGGGCAGACAGGAAGATGATATCGGATGCCTGTATGTTACAACTTATAATTGAGTTAGATTTGGTGCAGATGCTACTATTTGGCAAATAATGCAGTTTGCAGTTATAGTGAATATAGAGAATTGCACCTGGTTAATAGGGTCCAGCGTCCCACTTTCATTTGAGCCCCTGAGTTAACCTGGTTCGATAGTTAGTTATGCTTTCGGCCCCAGCCAAGTGCAATGGAAAAGGTACAGAATAAGCCGAACAATTTCGAATTATGGATTTCCTGTTGTGTCGTAATGGGTTCTCACAAGCATAGTACTTACAGCGTAGATGTCCATCCGAAGAAATGGGTATAAGAAATAATAAATGCACTTGTGTATCGAGGAGAAAGAAGTAGACAGTTATATAGTTTATAGTTAACTAACTCATCTCTGATCACCCCATCTGCCACCATTGCTTCTAAGCTGCGCATTCCGCATTCTCGTTGGGCAGAAATTCGAGCTTTGGCAGGGTTGCTGCTATTTTTAACCCAGATTTTTGCTTGTTTCAAGCCATTATGCCCCTAATCTTTTGTTCCTCAGCCATCGCACCCACGTTCGACATACTATGTAGGCCGCACATGCATACAGACATGGCTGTACTCCCCTGCCACTGTGCGGCCAGAGCTGGTTGGCCGGCCCACGGGCAGCTCCAACAGCCTAAGTAAACAATAATTATTAAATCTATAACAATCATTCCATCCCCAAAACAGACCATCTGAGCGTTATCGCACAGTAGGTATACTGGACGAGGAAACACCATTGACAATTTGACGAAATTTTGACCATTTGAACAATTAGCGCTGGTGGCCTGGTGGCCTCCGAAAGATAGTTCGTTCTCCTCTTCCTGTTCCAGCCCATCTTGTTCCCGCTGTACGTTGTACTGTTACATCCATAGCAGTTGATTTCGTTATTGTGGTACATACTGCCTCGCAATCCACAACCACTCCCGGTCGTCTGCACTTTTATCGATGTGACAGACATTGGACATATATCCAGCCTCTGTTGTCCATCTGGCTACATCCTCGAGGGCCCTGTGTTGGGGCCTTGGACAAATTGAATTGGTCCCATCCTTCGTTAGCCTCTCTCCATGGTCGCTAGGGACGGCCACAGGCTCAGCGTCCTCGGATCCAGCGTATTTA